CCTGTGCCTGCGCCCCCTGTTCCAGCCAACGGGTCAGCCCATCCCAGGGCCTTCCACTTGACCAGGATGTCCTGCCCAGGGACTGGTCTCTCCCGACAATGTGTCCAAAGTAACCAAGCAACCGCCATCGATCGAGTCTATGCCCAGTCACACCAACTCAGAGCCACCCTTGAGGCAGGGTAGGACTACCCTTGGAGGGTTCCAAGATGAATTCTTTTTTTAAAGTTCTATTGGCATTTAATCCACATATCACGCAATTCAATAGTTCAGGCATAAGAAGAGTTGAACAATCACTACCACAATGTTAGACCATCTCCCCCCAGGCCCACCCCATGGTTAAATGACTTAAAATTGGTTGTGCCAACATCATGAGTTTGAGAGTGCTCCCTCCCCCTTCCTACATATATTGTTTGTTCCCTCAATCCCCTCACGCTCCATATCTCTCACCTCACCCCCACCCCTACCTCCCCTATAAACCCTTGCATCTGTTTCATCTCTATGCCTCTACTGTGCTACCCAAACTAGAAAGCCCAATAGAAACAGTAATGAAAAACAAACAAAAAATAGAGTGTTAAGGATAAAATAATAATACAGAGCTAAAAGTGCAAATAGTGGGTATGAGAAAAAAGACCACCTTGAATATTTAAAAGGCCAGGGAAGAAATTTTTGTCATTGAACAAGCAAGAAATACTCTCACCTAGAAGAATCTCACGGGGATCTGCCAGCCGCTTAACCAGGCTAGTACTCTGCAGGTGAGTTTGGGGCTCCTGCTGCCCCCTACAGCCTTCCACAAATTGGGTGTTCACGATTTAGACTGATACTTTTCCCTTTGCCATACTTGAATTTTGTGATTGTTGTCTTTGGATCACACAAGCCGGTGTGCTTCTTCCATGTGGAGTTTGGTTGGCTCCTCCTCACTTAGATGGATACTGTTTGAATACAAGCCTTGAAGACCCCAGGCACTATTCCAACTGATAGCTGGGCACGATCTGCTTACTTCACCACACTTCGCTGTAGTACCCTTATCTTTAGTGATCATTTCATGATAGCAGAACGAACTTCTTGGGTTGGGGCTACAGGTCAGTGGGAGCCCATGTTATCTGCTTGTCCCTGGGATAGACATGACTCCGGTTTATTTTGGCGTTAAGACTGATTCTTTATGGGAGGAGAAAGCGCCATCTTTCTGCAGAGGCTGGTGGTTTTGAACTGCTAACCTTGAAGATTGCAGTCAACTTACAACCATTACACTGCCATCAGAGCTCCTCTGTGCCAACTCAGCAACCCTGTGGGGGTCCTAAGGCATTAAATCTAGATTTTAAAAGGCCTCATCTTTCTTTCTGGGAGCAGCTGATGACAGGTGTACATCTGATCTTGGTTAGCAGCCCAAGGTCTGTCCCATGACAGCACCAGGGCCCTTCCTGGGCTCTGGCAAACCGGCTGACTTGGAGCGACTATATCCACTTTCTGCTTGGTCTGCTGTTGGGACCTTTCATCCTGCAGAGGCAGCATGCCCACGGGCTGGGCAAAGCAGCTGGGAAGCGCCGGGCAGCAGTGCCCCTGAGTCAGAAAGGGGTGGGTTGTGGCGTGGGCGCTGGTCCCTTGGGGCTCCGTCCCTGGGCCGCTGTCCCCGGCCTGGCCCTGTTGCCCATCCCTGTCATTCCCAGCAGGCGCGGTGATTAATGGCCGGGCCCGCCTGCCGTCG